GCTATGTATACTTTATATGTGTTGTTTTGGTTTTCCCGATAGTGGCTATGTATACTTTATATGTGTTGTTTTCCCGATATTGGCTATGTATACTTTATAGGTGATGTGTTGGTTTTCCCGATATTGGCTATGTATACTTTATATGTGTTGTTTTGGTTTTCCCGATAGTGGCTATGTATACTTTATATGTGTTGTTTTGGTTTTATTTGTTTTAAGAGTTGTTAATGTATTTTGAGGTCGGAATAAAGACGTTTCAGCTGTCCGTTATCCCTCGTATGATCTTATATATGCGGGTTTAATTCTTATTATGTGTATTTGAGATTTAATCATTTTCTGACAGTTCTGTTGAACGGAACTCCCCGCTTTAGGTAAGAACAAAGACGTTGCAGTATTCTGACGTCTATCGGAAAATCTATGTTTAAATTGTAGATTGTAATCCAACTTAATTTGGTATTGGTTTGTATTTATTCAAATATTGAGGTCTTCCCGTGTTCTGTGAAGCATAACAAGATCTAGTTGTATCAACTTAGATTTGATTATCCCCAGGGTTCCTTACCTAACGTACAGTGGGGTCCATAAGCACAACTGGCCTTTTCCTCATACCCGCGTCAATTTTATTAAAATCACGCCAATGGGACAAGAGGACCCTATGTTGTATATGTGTATTAGACAGTTCACTGGTGCGATCCAATATTTGATGTTAATACTGTTATGTCTATATAAAGTCATATCAGTTTGACCCTGCACCCATCCCCTATTTTATAACGAGTGACTTTCCCCGCCTGCAGGGTTTCAAGTGTACTATATCTAGGCCAAGGTCACTGTTATTATAAATAGAAAATCTGTTTTCGTGCGATTACTTGAGTTTCCTTGGGCTGATCAAACTCAAACTTCATGCAGTGCTTTCTTACCAAAAGTGCTTGCTTGGGATTGCTTTTCAGGTCCGAAGGTCAAAGGTCAAGGTCACTGTTACTATAAATAGAAAATCTGTTTTCGTGCGATAACTTGAGTTTCCTTTGGCCGATCAAACTCAAACTTCATGCAGTGCGAAGCAAATCCTGCGCAGGCAACACATCCACTTCCATGGAATTCTTGTTTATAGTTAGCATTTGGGTTATCTGCCCTTGAACTCGTTGGTTAGTGTTTCTAACTTTTACCTTCTGATTTCAGGTATTTTCTCTTTTGGCGACACTGTTTCGTTTTGGGTTTTTTTCTCTTTTCTTTTCACCTCTTTTTCTGCTCTTTTTTAATCTTGCATTTTCATTTTCCTTAATAATCTTATGCATAAAACATATTTAAAAACAATAAAATAGTTACAACATGCGTTATTTACAATATAAAATTCACGGCATATTTACAGTGTTTTCGAGTGTGGTATTAAACTAAGACGAAGTTTTTTTCGTGTAGGAAGTGAGTTTGTCGGTGCTCTGGAAGGTGTTGTAGCAGGTGGTGTTGCGTCCTTGTTTGAACTTAAAGTAATAGTGAATACGTAGACCATTCACAATAATACATTAGCTAACGGTATAAGAAAAGAGTGAGGTAAGTGATTATATTTGGACAATATACTTACAGGGTAGTGTGTAATAATACTGGCCGCTTGCACGTCGTTGTCTATACATTCTTTGGCGATGTTATTTCCTAATGCGCTCCCTGTCGTTTGATATGTTTTGTCGTTCCTTCATGTACATTTCTGCTTGCCGTTGTATTAATTGGTGTTGGCGGAGGAATTCGGATAGACTGCATAAGCTTGTCTTGTGATTCTGTGATGAAAAGTGTGTCGTCTGAGCTTGTCAGAATCGTACGGGAAGATTTAGATGACGTCACGGTCGTCGAACGTGACGTCACTATCATCGATCGATATCCGCTCTTAACTCAGGCCCGCATGTCGCAGAGGTTAAAACGTCAGCGTATGGGGTGTGTGGTCGCGCGTTCGATGCGCGTCGGCGTCAATTTTTTGTGTATTGAATACTTCATACTATCATCGGAATGTTTTCTATACACTTTATTTTTTTTGGAGGGAGATGATAAACACCATCCTGCTATGTATTTAATCTTTGCCCTGCTTTCTCCAGATTCTTCTTCACATGTTCTGCCTCCTTCCTCATAGTGTCAAGGATAGGTTCTGCTTTCTGATGTACACTTCGGTTTCACAATTTCGTGGACACTCTGTAAATGATGTTATCCTGTGCTGGTGACGTATGTTGTCCAAAAAGGTATCTGTAACACTTCTAAAATGGACTGCACATCAATGCCATCTGGTAGTGATGTGACATCTTTAGAAAAAGATTCAATGCCCTCCGAACTCTTCACTATTGAATCATCATCATCATCATCATCATCATCATCATCATCATCATCATCATCATCATCATCGCCATATGATTGCGTTCTGACAGTTTCCAGTGACATTACTGCAGGACTTGCCATTAAAGTATGCATCCCCAAAGCACAGTTAATGCAACACTTCAGATTATCTCTTATCTCCAGCGGTTGTCTCTGGTAGAAGTCATTGATGCATTCAGGAGGCTTTTGAAGGAGGCGAGTAGTGAAGTTCTTGATCCGTGAGTCCTTTTTACATTGAGCACGACTTAAGGCTACTGTAAGCTGTCCATACTGTCGCATGTTCCTACAATCCACAGACACCCTGTCCAGTGTCATTCCTTGTGACTTGTGCACAGTCACAGCATAGCTCAGTTGGAGAGGTAGCTGACGTCTGCTTCCAATATCCTTCCTCAGTATACTGAGGTACTTGGTGAAGACATGAGTGGTGATGACTTCTGTCCTGTCCAATCCAGGGAAGAAGACATGCACACATTCAGGCTCCATTTTTGTAGCAGTCCCTGTCAATCCATTTACTAACACATCTGATAAATTGACAAGTAGCATAACTGGACATGACTTCTTCAGATGTACCTCCTGCTTCACTTTCACGCCACTAACATCTCCCTCGTCCGTGCAATGCAATCTAGTTAAAACCTTTCTTGATCTATGCTACGTTCACTCTGCTGCATTATTTCATTTCAAAATGTTTGATTCAATTTCCATACTAATAATATTTGAAAGAATTATTAAAAAACCAAGAAAACCAAAACATTTTTGTATACTGTATAGTCCGACTTCATAATTGAGCACAACAGTTTGAAGAATAAGACAGGATATCATAGGTCATTTCATATTTATGTAAGAAATATGATTACAAGATGATGATTAGAAAGGAGTTCTGAATACTATGTGGTCAGAATAGACAGGATGTCAGAATATCAAGGGGTCAGATTAGACATGTCAGAATATTAAGAACCAGTCAAATAAGACAGGATATCAGAATATTAAGTGGTCAGATTATAAGTTCCATGATACTTGATATCATCTATGTACATTATGCATGGATCAATTTCTAGGATCTATCTAAAACTATTTTTTATGAAGAACTTTAAAATATATATTTAACAGGTTACTTCATAATCTGGTAGAATACAGTCAAGGTCAAGTTCCCAAGGTTTGGTTTGGTTTTGGTTTTATTTTGGTTAACGTCCTATCAACAGCTAAGGTCATTTAAGGACTGCCTCTCCTGTGTGCAAGATGCATGCGTGTAGTGTATGCGTGTGTATTTTGGGAGGCTGTGATATGTTCGTGTTTGTCTCCTTGTGATAGCGCGGAACTGATGCCGACTTTATAGTGCTACCTCACTGAAACATACTGCCGAAGACACCCAGCAGGACGCTCCATCCGGTCACATTATACTGACAACGGGCGAACCAGTCGTCCCACTCTTAATTTGCTGAGCGTTAAGCAGGGGTAGAAACTACCATTTTTAAAGACTTTGGTATGTCTCGACCAGGGGACAGAACCCAAAGCCTTCCTCACATGGGCGAACGCTCAACAAATGGCCAAAAGTGAGGCATTGTCAAGGGAGACATTAGGAAGAAGAAAGTTATTTAGAATGAAGAAAAAAGATAAGGTCCCAAATAAGGTTGTGTCAGGCGTTGAATGCTGGAAGCCATGGTAACGCTGTAATACTTCCTCATTGGGAACTTCCTCCTTTGGAACTTCAGTCCTGCAGGTAGGGCGTAAGAATTGTACCTGCTGCCCTCATTGCATGATCGTAAGAGGCGACTAAGACACAACCTTATTATATAGCCAGATATTTGCCCGGTATTTGACAAATGTTTTTTCAAATGTTCATATATCTAGACCATGATATAGAGGAGCCAGCACACGAGCTTATGTGCATTGTTGGATAAGTTATTGGCAAGACCCTGTGGTAAAAAATAATCCTGGAAACATCAACCTAATTGCATTAGCGGGGCAATATTTCTGTACAGAGCAAACAGAAAATGGAAAGGTAGTGTTTTACGTGAAAATCAAAATCATTGTAATGGCATTGAGATTTTGAAGAAAGTGATTATTAATTTTTCGATACAATGTTGGACATTGGAAGTCAGAGGATAAACAATAAATCTAGAAAGACTTGGTATTTCTGATGACTTTGATAATACAGAGAGAAATCTAGCGAACATACTGTTCATTGTAAATCACCTCAAACTGTGTACTGGTAGAGATGCGGATGCCATTCAAGTTCCTGTTCACATAACTGCAGAAAACATCAGAAATGAATCAAATGATAGTGCGAGAACGATACGCTCCGAAAACTGTCTCTGTGTCATAACGCTTCTTTCCAAATTAAACCGCCGAGTAAACTTTAAGACAAGAACCCTCTCACAACCAGAAGCAGAAATTTGTACAGAGGATCACCATGACATTGCAAAATTAATGTCATCAGTGTTTCCTAGTGCATCTCCTTAGATGCAAAGTTTTCTACAAAACCAGCATGACATACCCACCTCTAAGCAAACAAGTAAAGGTGCAATACGATGGGGGAAAAGACACCATTCGTACTTGCCTGGAGCTGTGGTGCCAAAGTCCTAGGGCATACGAGAACTTTAAAGGAAGTGATATTTTCAATCTCCCCTCAGGTAAAATGTTACAAAAATGTTACACCACACAATGTAAAAAAAGTTAACCTTCCTCCTGAAGGATACCATGGTGGCATTATTCATGACGAAGGAAGCTTAATATTAAGGGCAAAGAAAACAAGTTTGTGGGATTTGTAGAAACTGGTGAAGAAAGTGATGCATTGAGGTTAATGAAAAAGGGAAACATGGAACCGACTTTGGCCTCAGACGTATTGCAAGTCACTTTCCTGGGATATACAGGATTTATATTTCCCATTGCCCACTACCCAACCAACACTGTGACAGCTCCAGAACTGTATGGAATCCTGCGGGACATACTAATATCTTACAAGATGGCGGGGACCAGAACCGACAGTATATGCGACTACATTTCAACAACGATGAGGTTGCCATAAGAAACAAGAGGCCCAAGAGGGCCTGTATCGCTCACCTGAATATTTAAGCAGTCATAACAAAATATTCTCATTAAATATTTTATTGCACTTAAAGTATTTCCCTCACAATCTTTAAAATGTTGTTGACCTCTGTGACCTCTAAAGTAGGTTGAGGTCATTTTCATTTGCAAACTTTGGTGAGCTCTATTCCAGAAAGTCACCAGCCAAATATTATAATTTTATGAATTTTAATTCTTCAGAAGTAGTTTGAACCGGTTGACATATTTGAACGCTGTGACCTTGAAAGTAAGTCAAGGTCATTTGTATTTACAAACTTTGTTTGGCTCTTTCCCAGGAAATAACCAGCCAAATATTAAGGTTCTATACCTTCCAGTTCTTCAGAAGAAGTTGTTCTAAGCGTTAGACATTTCCGACCCCTGTGACTTTGAAAGTAGGTCAAGGTCATTTTCATTCTCAAACTTTGTTGGGCTCCATCCCTGGAAGCCAACAGCCAAATATGAAGGTTCTATACCTTTTCGTTCTTCAGAAGAAGTCGTTTTAAGCATTAGACATATCTGACTCCTGTGACCTTGAAAGTCGCTACATGTCTTTATAAATTCTACTCATTTAAAAAATATGATGTGCTAGTGGAATTTACCTTCCATGTCCACGAGGCACTGTGCATTGTGTATATCAACATCAAGGCGTATGGTACTAACACAGAACATATGTGACACGAGCACTACTTTCGTAATATAAGCATACTTAGTATATCAACGCATTGACTGCATGCCGCCATGCCAGGCTATAAATATCTACCGTACACATATACTGGCTTTCATACACTGAGGGTACTGATACACAGGAATAATTGAAACCAACATTGTTCGACCCCATGTTACTGTCTTCTTACTAGGTTAAATCCTGAGTTTCCTGTATGTATTGATCGCTGGACCCCGCACACTACGGATATATGAATTCCATACCTCCTAATGAGATGACCTCTGTCTAGTCGGAAAATGTCAACAACACAATTTTTGAGACCCCTGTGTTAATGATAATGATGTGATAATGAATATCGCTACGGTCAGCCACCATGGCCTTCAACTCCTAATTTACTGCACGCACCATTTCGTTATACACATCCGCTGTAATGTTCCAAGTGTCCCGCCGAAAAAGCAGTTGCATAATAACTCTTGTTTGAACCCGAAACCGCACAACATCCACTCAGCTATTGTCAACAAATACTCCCTGCAATCTTGACACAGTCAGAACCTGCCGATCGACGTCGTCCCCCAGTCATAACTAGCAGTTTGAACCGGAAGTGAAATAAGATCACTGAAGGTTTAACTTTGTAAACAAAAGCTGAAATGTGCGTCTTACCTTTGGCATCAAGAAAAAATTGCTGAAGTTACGCTATTGTTGGTCACGTGATGTGTATCCCTACATCGGCAACGGTAAAGCGGTCGTATTACATGTCGCAAAAGGAAACTTGAGTCCATCCGCATACAAAAATAAATCTAAATAAAATCTGAACATCAATGTAATTTAATTAACTTCGTATTTTGTTTTCTTGTTTTGTTGTTAATTTTTTTCTCTCTTGATGTTGCTGGTGTTTACTTTTTTTATTACAGATACTGTCTCTACTTCGATATTTTACATTCTATATTTTAACTTATTTGATGTTACAGGTACCTTCCTGTTTGCCTTTCTTGTCTTCCTCATCATATGTGGGCTTCCCATGTACTTTGTGGATATGGCCATTGGTCAGTTCACTGGTCGGACAGCTCTGCACGCATGGGAACTGTGTCCTCTGTTGAAAGGCGAGTTTATAAATACTTACGTGCAATCGTGTTTGGAAATGTTTGCTGATTTACTAAAATTCGATTAAACGCTAAAATTTGTGTCTGCTAAAATAAGTACTTTCACAGTATATTGTTCTATACTACCAGGTGAAAAACCGGTTATCCGGTCGGAAGACCACGAACCGGTTACCAAAATCAATAACCGAATAGTCGGACATTTACTTAACCCTTTGATGAGCCCCATGCTTCCTTGGCTTAGCCCTACAAATTATCCAAGATGCGACCTAAATCGGATATTTTTGTAATACAGTGTTCAGGGATAACATGTTAGTGTTGTTTTTGTACTCGATTGTAAATACTGACAAAGAGATGCCGCCAAAACCATAAATAATCTTATCAGATATACTTACTGTGCTCATTACATGCAACTATTTGCTGCGTTTATCTTGAAATACACGAGTAAACTATCATATTAATTTAAATATACATGTATTTTTGTGGTGTAAATACGTTTGAGATAGAACATTTTCTAAACATGTGTGTTTGTTGCTGTCTAAAATTTGTTTACCAAATTGACCGATTAACCGGTTACTCGCTCGGAAGATTGTTCGAGTAACCGGTTTACAAAATACGACTGGTCTGATAACCCTCGTAATAATATTTTCTGGTATCGGGAAGGTTGCCCTATTAAAAACAATACAGTAAAACCTCGATATAATGCCCCTCGTATACCGCCAAACCAACATGTTTTAAGTGCTCCTTTTTCCCGTTTTCTTACGAATTCTTTTATATTTTTCCCGCAAATTATTATTGCAAGAGCAACATTTCTTTGAACAAATGATGGCAGTATACCGTGGTTTTACTGTATATGGATATTGATGGTTGGATTTGTTTTCCTTTGCAGGTATTGGTGCAGGCGTTCTCTTGGTGCTAGTTATAATCAGTTCCTACTACACCATCATCATTGCTTGGACCCTGTTTTACCTGGGTAACAGTTTTCTCAGTCCGTTACCTTGGCGTACCTGTAACAACAGGTGGAACACGGATAAATGCATCACGGACCGGAGCCTGCAGATTATTTCAAATGAAACTTCATCAAATGAAACGGAATATGGACGTATGCTTCCAATTAATCTAGGAAATGCATCAACTTTCCCAGTGAAAATGGTTACATCAGAAGAGGAATTTTTTCAGCAAGTTCATTTTTTTTTTATTAGAATAATGACTTTTAAAATGAAATTGATGTAGAGAACTAGCTATGCTGTAAAGAAAAACTTTCATAAATGCAGAAAGAAAATTGGATTGGACTATTTTTAATACTTAATGCATGGATTAGGCTTTGATATAGAGGAATGTTTTTCATGTGGAGAAAGTGGCTTTGATGCAGGGAAAAAAGTTTGATATAAAAAGAATGTCTTGGAAGGAATACACTTAGGTATTCTGATGTTATATCTTTAATGTGGGATAATGGCTTGGGTGTTGAAAAATGGGTTTGATGTAGGAATGTGACGTTGAATCAGGAGAGGCATTGGTTCAATACTTAGAAATATTTTACAAGGAAGGAAATCGTTTAAAGCGTAAAGGGAAAGCGTTCTTGATGCATAAACCGATATTGGATGTTCATCTGTTTACTAGGCGCGGCTTATTAGAAGTATCGGAAGGTCTACACGAGATCGGCGGTATTCCCTGGCATCTAGCAGTCTGCTATCTGGCAGCATGGGTCATCCTCTATCTGTGTCTTGTTAAAGGCATCAGGTCCTCAGGAAAGGTAACAGGAACTGTATAGAAATATGGACTTGTTTATTATTTTGTATTAAATATTTTTTTTTATAAATAACTTGTTGAGCAAAACTGCAACGTTAGGATTATTATGAGAGACAATATATCATTTTTTGGAAACTAAGTGGCCTTACAATAAAAGAAATATTATAATTGTGTACTTTTTAGTAGAGAATATTTATCAATTTCGTAAGCTAGCCTCTTATTTATATTTTAACACATTATGTGTTTGATAAACCATTTTGATATATAAGATATATAAGGGATGCCAAACTTTAATCTAATTAATTATTTTTTTCTCGTTCAGGAGCTGGTACCATATTTTAAATTCTTTTCCTACCTTGCGACATCTCCAATCTAGCATCCGACGTTTAATATTGGGAATGATGTGTATATCAATTATTAATACAACATACCTAACAACTAGCGACCCTATGCATGTTCGGGAAATGAATACATGTCGTTACAAGCGACTACTTTTGAACCTCTTGCAGAATAGGGGGGCTTTCTACTGTGTGCTCCGCTAATGAGGCATTGTCGAAACCAAAATTAATCTTCTACCCCCCATTGAAACATCTTGAATCTTCATATTTTCTCAATACTTCATAAAACCGTTTTGTTTCTTAGAGACTTGCTTGGCAAAACCTCCCTTTTGACCTAAGTGTTAAGCGTTCGCCAAAGACGGACAGGCAATGTGTTCTGTCCCTAGGCCGCGACATACCAAATTCCTTACCATAGTAGTTGTTGTTCCCCACTTAACGTTCAGCATTTAGGATTATCAGAAAAACTGGTTTACCGGCTGTCGGTATGTAGCCGGATAGAATGCTGTTTTATGTGCCTTCGGCACAGTATTTGAGTGAGTAAGCACTCTAAAGTGGGCATCGTAGGGAGGCAAATACGCCAACATACCCTGCCTCCAACACACATACACATAAGCATTTATACAATACATACATGGAGGCACGTCCTTGAATGACCAAAGCTGTTGATAGGACGTTAAAGAAAATGAAATCATTATGCTTGTTGTATACATGAAAAACCTTACATATTAGCACATCTTTGTATTATAAACGCATGAACCTGTTTTACTAAGCTCGATGTTTATGATTATGCTTATAAGTATACTTTGTTCAGATTTCACATCCCCTGTTCGCGTTATTAGGACATGCCATTACGTTATTATGATCTATATTTTTTTGTTCATATTTTGCCCAAGTTTTATCAATTTTGAGTTAGAATTGCGTTTTTGTTTACACTTCCATCTTTTTAACGTGATAGGTTGTATACGTCACCGCCATCCTGCCGTATGTACTTCTTACCGTGCTACTTATCAGGGCTCTATTCTTACCCGGGGCCAAGGAAGGAATACTATTTTATATCACCCCTGACCTCCGAAGGCTCGGAGATCTGCAGGTAATTCTATTTAATTATTATCGACTTAAGTATTTTCGTGGTGGTGATTATTTCATCTCATTCATTCAATATGCATGATCATACATTTTAGTATACATCCTTATAAGCAATAATCGACAGGATCTATTACACTATTTTCCATCTATTGTAGATTTAAAAACCCCACAACAACCTGCAAATACGATGTTACAAGTTTAATTCAGGTACTACAACGTTTTGATAGTTTAAATAATACAATACAACGTCTAGGGACTTTTTATAAAACCCCAACTGTTTGAAAAATATTTTTTTAAACTCAAACTGTTTGAATAAATATAACAAAACAATTTTAATTCTTCTATATAATCACTGTTTATCTGTTCCAAGGTATGGCTAGAAGCCGCCCTTCAAGTGTTTTACTCACTCTGTCCTGCCTGGGGGCCAATCATCACATTGGCAAGTTACAACAAATTCAATAATAACTGTTACAGGTAAGATTTTCTTTAACATATAAATGAATAGTAACATTTTTGTATATTAACTGCTTTTCTTTTGGACATATTAACTCTAGTTTTACAGACCAACATGCTTCGATGTATTCGATTGAGAAGTTTAAAAAGAAATTGAATTTAAAATGGTTTTTCTGTCAACTTCTTCATTTTATATGATGTCGGTGTAAATTGCAAATAGAAACACCAAGGATTCATCAATTTCAGAAAATTATATATAGAGCAAAACTTACATGAAGTTTTAAATAATGTTTAATAGATTTATGTTGCATTTCTTTTTGTTTTGCTGTCTTTTTGCACGATTTTACCTGATGTTTTTACTAAAGCTTATTGTTGTTTCTTAATTGACGTAACAAAACTTTAATTAATTATAAATAAATTACCATAAACATATACCATTGCCTACCGGAATCGACACAATACCAAAAACGGAAACGTATCATGACTCCTTCCCCCTCACAAATAATATGTGAAACAAGGTACTGATAAAGCGTGTTTTTTCATCAATTTAGCTGCAAAATTACTTCTTAGGTGTTACTAGAAATTAAGCACCCCGATAGATTTTGGTGAATATTTTGCTGCGTCTCTTCCTAATAATTATTGGTACGTCTACGAATTGAAGAGGAGAACTAACTGATGTTGCTGCGTTTCTTTTGATGCTTCTTCTTTCTTCATCTTCTTCCGCCGAATGGATTCAGGACTTTTTCCCTCAGAACTTACTGGCAGGATACTTATGAAACTTCACACGAACATTGTTAAGCATACGCGTTTCATGTTCTGATAGTTCATGAAACAAGGCCGCTGATATTTTGACACATTTACGGGTGTACGTCAAGGTGATGCGAACGGTGCCTGTCTGTCTTCTTTTGTTCACACTTAGTATGTAAGGGATTATGGCATTACAATTGAGACTACAGTGGCAAAATTACAACTTGTTATAGGGATTCCATCATGTTGACGTTTATATGTGAAGGAACCAGCATATTTGGTGGGTTCGTGGTATTCGCTGTTGTTGGTTTTATGGCCGAGAGAACTGGAATGACAATCTCCGAGGTTGTCTCGACAGGTAGAATTTCTTAATATTCTCATACCCAATATTTTCGTATGTAAATTCGATTTTTTGTAGAACTGTATAAGCAATATAAATAAAAATACATTACTGATTGGTGTTTTATGTCATGATTTGGCAATGAAAGGGTATTCATGGTATTAATATTCACTGGATATTTAATTTCGTGCTTTCTTTGGTGATCACTTATATGGCAAATGAAATCCCCGCTAAAATTAGCAACTATACAGTAATTACATTTCACGTCTGGCGGACAATTATAATCAGGATATGTTTTTGAATTATTTTCTTGTCATAACATTAGCTTGATAACATGTCTGTTTTAATACTACAGGACCAGGCCTGGTTTTTATGGCCTATCCAGAGGCTCTAGCTCAACTCCCGATGCCAAATGTATGGTCCGTAATGTTCTTTCTGATGCTGCTCAGTGTTGGAATGGATACTCAGGTAACCATTATATATGTATTATTTGTGTGTATGAAGCTATCTTGTTGGGATCATGCATGCATATTTGAAATTCGTTTTAACGCAAAAGTTGCTGAGATAAGTTTTAAACGTTTACCTCTTTGTCCAAAGTATGATTTTTAATTTTAAAAATGTGCTTGACTAATTTTCAAAAGTTTACCTCTTTATCCTAAGAAGGTTTTTATTGATTTAAAAAATGTGTTTGACTTTCGGGCTGTAAGGGAGCTTTCCTTTGGTTTTAGTTAAACTAACATAAATAATTCCACTTTAAAACAGATAGAACAAGATATTTAGTGCCCCTTCTGTATTCAATTACTATGTCTTTTTGACACCCTTGGTTTTAAGTCAATGCAATCAGGTATTTATAACATTATAAAAAAAAAAACTGTTCAAATATAAAAAAAAAACACCACTTTAACGAAGATTAAGATTTAATGTTCATGTTGCATTTTATTATACGAAAGATATTGATTTATATTATACCGAATACATCTCATATGTAGGCCATGGGCTAACTCATACATTATTATGCATGGAGAGGTTAATAAGAGTTTCCATTACGTATAATTTGTAAGGGAGTAATGTTAAGATTATTTTTTATCAAAACCGAAGAAAGTCCATCTCCACCTTTTTCCATTTATTTTTTACCGTGATTTCATGCATGGCGTTATCTCATAAATACCTGTGTCGTCACACTGGGTGTATACATATAGAAAACATAAAAAAAAGATGTTATGTATGACATAAATCAAATAACAGGATACATAACGACACATTTAAGTCATTCTTTAAAGTAATTCATGTCACCTATATTTTTCCGCGATTCAAACATGTCATGTGTACCAATCACGCAGTTATTGAGACCTATTTCCTAACACGTTCTAAACAAGTTATACACTATTGATCGTCGACTTCAAAGTTACATAGAGTGTATCAATTGCAAAAGCGGATAAATGGCAAGTTGATGACACGCTATTTAAATCTCATCTTTTTTCCATTACATTCAATAACTACGTGGGGCAGTCGTTAGGTACTGGCCGCAGTTCAGTGGTTTTTCTCCTAGCTCTCCGGTTTTCCTCCATCACCAAAACATGGCACGTCCTTAAAAGACCATAGCAGTGAATAGGACGTAAAACACAGACAAACCATGCATTCAATAAGCTTCGTATACACTGCGTTACTGTAAAGGGTCAATATAATAAGAACGTTTTGTATGATATGCGAGTCAGCTTAATTTACCATTTTTAAAGAGCTGAAAGAGTACTACGTTACGGTATATTTTTTATCTTAATATACCAGCAGATATACATGGTAAAACGCAGTGAATCGTAATAAACAGATGATGGGTACGAATCAATCAACACAAAACTGTAGAATAAAGTCGATTAAGATGTATGTATGTATGTATGTATGTATGTATAAGTATAGTATATGTTCTACTGTTAATTAATATCGTATTTATTTTAATATACTAAAAATGAATAAATAAAAACAGTGTAACGAAACAAAAAACAAAGGTAAAAAAAGGCGAGGATCACATTGCCAGGAGGGAGACAGTGTAAAATCGCAGCTGGCCCCAGTTGCTGCAAGATGGATTAGAGAAAACCAGTGGCTAGGGGAAAAATTCAAATTAAAAGTTATTAGCATCTAGTGTTATTCCACTGTGATGATTTATATTTATTGAGACAAATACAATTGATGTGTTTATATGACTGTTTTGCTTTGAAAGCCCTTGCTTTGTATTGGCTACAATTTGAATTTTCCACTTACCCCTTGTTGAAGTAAACCAACCTTTGAGTATCCAGGGCCTGAAAGACAAATAAGCAAATGTAGAAGCAATTGATTAAATATTCACGTTTTTCTTTCTTGGCCTCGTTTTCAAACAGTTAATCAAATAACGAGAACATCCCTTGAGATGTAATTATTCTTTAAATATAATAGTACAAGAAATGTATGCAAAACATTAGAATACTGTGATTTATTTTATTTTTGCTGTTATGACAAGATCAGATTAAAACCTTCATATATTGGTGACCTAATAACAGGGACCATGTTGTTGTATTTTATGACAGATACCGTGTTGTGTTATTGATAGGGATCATATTGTAGAAAGATGAACTATATATAAACAGACAGAAAACCCTCCATTGTGTATTAACATATTATTACCTTATTAATTGTCCTTCAAGGAAAGCTGTAGATCATCAAATCGTTTTCAATTCAAACGAAGTATTCACACGAAGAAATAAGAGATAAGTTATATATATTTGTCTCTTGTGTAGATGTAAGTGACCTTTCTGTGTGTGATTTGATTTGTGAACGTCAATTCTAGAATTCAGTATGGATCCCGAATTCAATTTTACGATACGAGTTCACTGTTCTTCTTAAATCTATTCTAACGTTTGTTTTATAATTGCAGTTCTCACACATGGAGACGATAGTAACAGCTCTACTTGACCAGTTCCCTTTCCTGAGGAAGAAGAGAACCATTATACACGCCTTAGTGTGTGTCATCTGGTTCTTATTCGGACTTATAATGTGTTCGCAGGTGAATATAATAATATATAATAAATAACCAAAGGCGACGGGAACGAAAAAAGAACAATATATCATTAAAGCCAGAATTTTAAAGAATATAGACTATGCATGGCTTGACGCACCTGCAAGTACCGAATCAAAACGTTTTGGCAAAAGCTCGCAAAGAAAATACGAAATACAAATAAACCACTTAGTCTAACCTTATTTCATAAACTAGCAATTCTGGGTGTGAATTATTGCAAGGCACGAATGCACCTGGTGAATTAACCACGCTGCCCTGTTTTTTAAATGCTGTATTCTCAGTAGGCAATGGCATGTAAAACGATTTTCAAATTTATTCAGCAGGGATAAATAGCACAACACACTTTATTTGAATATTACATTACGTCTCGTTCAGTACATTTAACATCAACCTCATTTCATTATCGTTTAAATTTATATTTGAATACGTCATATTGTCATTAATAGGGTTTGAGGAAGATAAAAAAAAAATCATGAGGGGGCAATACTATTTCTCTCTTGAACGCTTACATTTTTTCAATTATAGTGCTCAAGATGTTTATCTCATAGAGAATATGACTTAATGCAACATCATCTTATAATTATGTAAATTATGCATGTATATCGCGTGTACCTGTTTAATATTGATAACATCTTTCTTCACAAAAATGACGTTCTGAACTAATATTTATGTAAATTGAATGATTTAAGTTTGATTTGGTTTTAAAGGTTTTAACGCCTATATTAACACGTCATTTACGAACGTATATCTATATATGTAATGTATCGAGTGTACTGTAGGCAGGTTATGTTGGTGCAATAGCGCAGTTCTGGTCCCGTCTTCGATATTTCAGTGAGGTAGCACTCTAAAGTCAGAATTAAATAGGATTATGGCAGGAATCAGGTAATTAGAAGGGTTGTCTTAAGAACTTAAATTTTTGATAATCATAATGATAAATAAATGTGAATATGAACTAAACTGTTATTTTTTCAGGGCGGCATGTACGTGTTTCAGCTGATGGATTGGTATATAGGACTATCTATACCCGTATTCGGCTTCATAGAGCTTCTAATTATTGGGTGGATATACGGTAATTAGACGAAAAAACCCTGAAATTTTCACTCACGATGTTTTATTACCTTAGTGTATTCTCCCTTTTGGAAATGCAAACAATAGTTCAATGAGTATTATAGATGTTTAATCTGAACAATTAAATAAGATTTTATTAATTCAATTTGATTCCAGCCATAATAACATAACCTTCGTATATGTTCTATTATTCATTTTCATATGAATGATAATTTAACACCGATGAGATTGATCAAAAATGATGATTTTGCATATTTGTTTATTTAAAGGCTATTTATAAGGTAAAAGCATGATTTGAAGAATGTACGCCAACATTTTCTTTTTCGTATAGGAACTGAGCGATTTTCTCAAGACGTCACCATGATGATTGGGTATGGGATCCCTGTTGTAATGAGAATCGCTATCATTTTTGTAGCACCTGCTGCATTACTGGTATGTATATAATACATTAGTTACATCAATAGAAAATGTCCGTCGTGCTCGTCGGAATTACTTATAGAAAATGATATGATTTAAGATTTGAAGAATTGAAAAACAACTGCTGGTAAATGTTAAACAGTTTCATTTTTTTTTTCAAGTTTGTGTTTGTGTTTGCCTTTGGTACATATGAAGCCCCATCCTACGGATCCTATAAGTATCCCACATACGCCACCGCTATAGGGGTGCTAATTGGAACAGTTCCACTTGTGCCTGTCGTGGTAATGGCATATAGAGCCATCAAGAACAGCCAGGGCAATTCATTTGTAGAGGTCAGTATACATTTATGCTTTAAATCACTTACTTCAATGTTCGTGCTTTCTTCACTTTTTTTATTCATAATATCTCACAAACACAGTCAGTTGATATATGGTAAAGTTGTGGACATTAAGTAATCATTTAAGGAAACAGATTGATATAAGTTTAATAACTTGTTTCTGGATCCTATATCATGTATGTAATAATTGAATGTTCTGTATATTGTAATTGCAAATTTACGAAATAAAATATGGTTTATACTAAGTAATCATTCGATGTGTCAAGACAGAAACTGTACATGGCAATATTACAAATTATTCTCCTTAAACTTTTTCAAGTGTTGCCATTGAAGTTCAAACACAATTTTGTTGACACTTCGGTATTCTTTTTTTTTTGATATTGCTCTCGAAAATTTCTATTTAGCAGCACAATGACACTTTCCAGTGACTGATTACATCACGACAGGGATAATAAAACAAATATGTCGTATATCTCAAATAACTCTATAACAAAGGTTGCGAATTGCCTCTATAATTTGACGTATTTGTTATGCTTGCACAGTCCCTTTCGCTTCTGTGCTAATCAAGTCTCCCCTATTTCAGGTTGACGTACACTGTTGAGTGTTATCCGCTGCATTTATTAAGCTCTCCTTATGGAGCTGTTTTCCCTTCATTTCCTGATACAGCCTAGAACTGCTGAAATGTATTCGATAATAGTCTTGCATGTGTAACAATGCACCTTTGGATATATGGATATCCTACATTACATCCGTCTGTCTGTAGATTGTTAAATTTGTTCTCTGCAAAAAACAAGAAAAATATGTTACAACACAATACATTTTTGTGTGTATCATTTTACTGTTTTCCTTATCGGAACGTTATGAACATGTGTCACTGTGTTCTTAGCAATCCTGTTATAAAACAAATGATACTTTACCACTTTTTCAAGAATCCTAAATTACTGTTATGAAGGAAATGACAAGTTATGATTTTGGCCTCATTTAGGGTACTCCAAACTGTACCTGATTTGTAGGTAAAACACTCACTCCTAAAAACAAGAAACAGGATATTGAGAACATTACCTTGGATATAACTAGCATTAGGATGCATGTTTGGTTTGTATATAAAGTATATGTGTAATAAGGAATAGAATTCAAACCGACCTCAGTTTCATTTACACTCTAGTTATTAAATGTATTAGTAACATCATCCAATCAGCTAAATTTTGATTAAGACGACATTCAAGACATGGATGAAAACATTGATGTCTAGAGAACAACTGACAAATGATTGTTTGCCCGGATAGAAAAATAGAGGGGTGGTGTTGAGTTTGTATGTACAAAAACAAAGTAATCGAATTTGTGTAGTCTCCATACATTTGGCAAAACATAACAGTGATTTCTTTTTCATTTCAGAGAATCTCAAACGCATGTAAACCGTCTGTGAATTGGAAACCAGGATCGAAAAAGCATGCACGGAATTACCAATACCCCGAACTGAAGGAATATAAAACTTTTTGGAGTAAACTTAAAGTGAACATTTTTGGACGTGATTGTAACAAAAATTAAAGCAGAATCAGCCACACATATGCTATATTATTTATAGAAGATTTATATATTGTAGATAGTCAAAATATTGAGGGTGTTTTAGCGAAAACACAAATATTTTTATATGTTTATACATTTTTTGAAATTAATGTTTTAAATAATTCAGCTATATCTGCCCAAGTAGCAATATTACTTTGAATACAAGTTCAGATGTATTAATGATGTTGTTGTTATTGTTGTTGTTGATTTTATTTTTCGTGACAGTCATCAGTTGATTCAAATCAAGTATCACGTCACGATTTCCAGTTATGATATCTTTACATTAATATAGATTGTTACAAACGTTTTGATTTAAAAAAAAATATATATCTAAGGATCCCCATACCATTGCCATAAACTGTGACTATACATTAGAAACTGTTCCGGCATGATTATAGTTTTGATAAAAAAATCATTCCTGATGGGACAGGGATCCTTAAATGAAAACACCTATTTTTCCTGAAACAATATTTTCGTGGAAGCAAAAATCCATAAGCAAGAAGTATATACCGTACAGTGGAAAGCTTTCGCCGAGTCTACCTTTCGCCTTCACCGGTAAAATCTCCATATTCGCCTAGTGTTAATTTCGCCCTTCACAAGTAACTATAAATGGATGCTGTGTACTAGAAAACATGGTATATTCGCTCTCCTTAGCAAGAGCAAAAAAAGCAAAAGTTCAACAGCGGCGAAACTTTTCCGGTATACAGTAGTTATAGGTAGGTGATATCAACGGTAAATTATCCTTTACGGTATCGAAGTTATTGCTACTTTGTCCGTTCATCAGCCCGTTTGAGGGTCAATAACTCCCGTTGTACTGTTTTTTAATCATCCCCATCTGGAGGTGCTCTCAACTAGAAAAGGTTGATTTTTAATAGAGCAATATAGTTTCAGAAAAGGAGTCCATCAAAACAAAATGATAAATATTTTCCTTTTTGTCCAAGACACGCAGCTCCCTGTGAATTTGTGAATCAGCACCGCGTGATACTATTTCTAACCAAATATAGTTGTTATCAGTATTATACTTCAAGAGGAGATGTTTCAGTAAAAGCAATGTTGCCAAGCTATCCCATTTTGGCCCCGGACACAAGGCCGAACCATCCACCCCATACGGGAATCTGCCCTTCCGTTTGTACAGTTGTAAATCGAGATTGTTTTTCCGTTTAATCATTCAGAAGTCGTTAGAAGAACATTTTGACGGAGGACAACGGAAAGGCAAATAATCATCTGAGTCCTTCAGACACGATAAACTGAAAAAATAGAAATATAAATCCGCTGAAAAAATATATAATTAATATATTTTATCTTCCTCTGTACTATACCGTTATGATGGTTATTTACATCGTAGCGTTATAGCTCTAACATCGTCAGTTAAAGGATATCAAGTTTCGGGCGTTGCTGCATTTCCTCATTTGGTGGTGAAGTACCGGTTTTATACTCGCATATCATATATTTTAAGAAATCCCTGAACGTTTGCGGAAATAATGTTATGTTTAAAATTTACATAAAGGCTGCATTATTCATTTGACCACAAGTTGATTGTGTCAACCACTACCTGACGCACATATTGAATTTGTAAACCTTTAATGGCATACTTGCCGAATGTATCTCATTAAATCTCCACCATAATCATAGGTCAAGGAAAACCACATTCTAAGAAGTCAACAGTCATTATGATAATCAGTTGTAACGGCCCTTTACCGATATATTATGATTTATCATTTCAAATATATATGTATAAGACTTTGTGGTCATAATAACAGTGAAAAATTAAAAAATCTTTCTGAAAAAAAGAAGAAGAAGTTCTATGTATGTTTGAGTTATAAATTTCAATATTTAAAAATAGGGTGGTAAGACAAGTTTTTTATCCTGTATTCTGAGGACCTTGTGTTTTGTAATTTTTGGGAAGACAAGGTTCAATGTCAGCAGATACACACTTTCAAAGTGATAATTGGATACGTCAAAACACTTTTCTATTATCTGTACCTTTTCTTTGTACTCTTTTTCCAATCATCATAACGAAATGTCTTTTGTTATTGTATAATTTATTAATTGACATAAATAAGATATAAACATTTCCCTCTTTAGTTTTTGAGACCGTTTTGGAATAATTTATGTCTTTTGAGATATCCATGATTGAAAACAGTTCTTCATCTCAGATCCAGTCGAAAATCTTTTTAAGTAACTAAAGTTTGGATAATGTGTACCTTATTAAAAACTAACCCTTTAATTAACCTAAAATATTTTGTTTGAGAAAACGGCTGACGACATTAGCAACAGTTTGAATGTAATGATTTGTATCCGTCAAAACAATAATGACACTGTTCAAATAAAATTACTTGTGTGAACTAGACCCTTCATAGTCCGATTTCATAAGATCACTTAATGATGTGTTGTCAAAGGAAAATTCCAAATGCTGACTGTGAATGTTTAAAATGTTCATATAAGATAGAGTAGATAATTTATGCCGTTAATGTTGTCCTTTTTCTGTTAAATTGACCAATCGACGCATCATTTCAATGCAATAAACATCAATGTTATGTCTTATTGTTTCCCTTTTCATTCTTTTTGTTCGAAATAATTTACATTTTATATATATGTCTACATTAATGAAATATAAACCGTCATTTAAAGCCAGTTTTACGCTGGACAAATGATGGTATATTGTTGGGGATTCCCTTTCAATTAATTGCAGTAAAGCCAGTATCGACATTTACTCCATATTTCCGCCTGCGAAGCTACGTGAACTTAAATATAAAAAAAAATATTCTCATTTGTTTGTTCAAACGTGTTTGTTTGTCATGTTTTAACATTACATGTGTGATATATTGTGAAAACCTATAAATCATAATGTCATCAAGATGTCATATACATCATGCACATTATGCACGCGGTATTAACACAAATCAAACACATATCGCACGTAATAAATAGTATACATACACGCTGACTTTGATGAAACAGTCTTTGATTTTCTTCTTTAACTCTGAAAACAAATCTTATTTCCGGTGACGTCAATTTAATGACAGACATACTACTGATACGTAGTAACAGATACTTTTCATATTTTCCGTATTTTTTATGATTTAACCTTTGTGGTGGTGAATTACTTTTTTCCTTGTGCGACATAATGTAAAGCTTTAAGGGCGGTGTAAGGGCGGCTATAAATATCACTGTGCTGTTGTATACAGATCTGAAACATAGCGAGGATCAGCAAAACCCAGACATCTAGACGTGGCAAAAGGTAGGATTTATACTTTCAACCCATGACATTTAAATAGTATCCTTTTACACTTGCAGTATTTTTTTTTGTTTTGATTAACTTTTAATCGCCAATTGTTTTTAAAATGTCTTTAGTTAAACCTAAAGCTCATATCTTAGGTTTAGGCTGAGCTATTTTCAAAACTTTTATGATTTCTTCAAAATATTTGTTTATAACAAAGTATTCTGTTTATGCCATTGTTTTGTTTTATCACCGAAGATTTGACCTCATTCGATTGCGAGAAGCTTATTTGACAAGTTTCGTATAACGCCTATCCTATTTGTTCAAGCAATGTTATCTCAACACGTGATGTTTGAATTTATCTTTAATATCAATTAATACAAACGGTTCATTATTTTTTTTCATTTTTTTTTTTCATTCCTACAGATTTTTTTATTTTTTTAAGTATGTAGATTAATGTATAAATCTGATACTACGAAAGATTTACCGGGGGAAGATACCTTACATGAAACTGTTGTTAAGCTTACAGAGCCAACTTGACATTCATTAGTTAAGGATGTTAGCTTAAACAACCAGCGCATTTACAACATTCCGTTATCAAAAACAGTAAATTCACATTTAACTTAATGTATGAATTGGAAAAAAATAACAATGCCGTCGGTGATACCGAATGACTGGTTAGTTTGAAAGGTTTAATATCAAATATAAGGTCTCACAAAAATATTTGATCGACATTCAATACATATAAATAACAAAACGATAAAAAAAATAGAACAAAAAACATTATTTTGATAATGTCAATGTTAAATTTCTGATAAATAGACTGCTTTAGTTTTACATTTCAATCTATTTTAACCGTTCTCAAAGATTTAACTCTCGAATCGGTAGTTAGACGTATCTCAATATCTAATGTATATGTAATTACTACAACTTTTCGCACCAACATGAAAACACTATTTATTGTTAGGTAAGGGGCTGCCATTTTTTAGGGGCCCTAGTTTCAACCCTCGAACGAATTGGGATTTCCTACTTATGTTTAATATTCCACAACAGGACCCGCCCTCATGAAGTCATTCTCATGCTCAAACACAGATTCCGTTTTCAAGCCCAGTGTCTGTTCCGGAGAAAAGTTAATAACAAATCACATGTTGTCAGTGCTTTGATAGAATTTTTGAGATACCGGTAATTAAAGCGGAATACCCTTTCAAAAGTTCACTTTTGTTAGCGTGTCACATGATTTAATCGAATTAAGAAAGTATGGTTTGAGGATTTGATGAAGACGGGCCCAGGTAAGTTAAGTTGAACAGAAATTAAATATTGAAAATATATAAAATGTATATTGTAAATAAATGTATATTGTAAATATAATCGAAATTTCAGATGGTAAACTTTTGATATTTTTATCTTATGAGTAGAATTATTTGTCTCTGGTAATATAGATATTTGCTTTTGATAAGCATTCAAGCATTGTATGTTTCTCCGTGTCAGATAATTTCTGTACTGTTTAAAACCATAAGTGTAAAGTCAATGGTAACATTATGTACCTCAACATGATTATGAACACCAAGACATTGATTGGATAATTCGTTGTCTATACGTCACGTGAACAGTGTATTTTTCTGATTACGAACTTAAATGAAAACGCAATATCTTGTTAGAGCCAATTTTTACTGTATGATCATTGTCAAATTAGTATTATTCTAATACATATGATTATTATATATATTGTCCCGATGGTCTGAAGATCAGTGAACATAAACTCCGGTGGTAATTTCCTGATTTTGATGTATATGATATACATTTCTGTTCAAAAACAACTCCTTGGCAGGGAAGTTTTTAATTTACGAATTGTAATTTGAACGTGGCCAATCAGTTGTTTTTTAGTAACATATTTGAAATACACAATAGAAAGCAAGTTCTGTGAAATCAGATATTTTTGTAGGGCCCAAATATCATTTTGTTGGTTATGAATTCGTGGATTACGAGTACCAACTGCTTTATATTCCGTCTTTGAGTATTGCAGAGTTATCTTCTCTTGGGAGCAGGTATTGATTGTTACGTCACTTGTTTGTGAGAGTAACTTCATCAATTTTTGAGAAAACGACGTAATTTTCTCACACAAACCAATGACGCAACAATCAATACCCGCTCCCAAGAGAAGATAACTATGCAATACCCAAAGACGGAATAAAAAGTTGTAGCCACTTTGTGGACCTTATTTACCTGAAGAAAAATAAGTGATTTTATGATATATATTTACAACTAGTCGTCTTTGTTAAATATTAAATAATGCGAATGAGAATGTATCTAAGGGAAATTATACAAACAAAAGACCAATATCCACCAAGCCTATACTAGATAGCTTACTCTGTATGGTAACAGAATACCTGAGGAGAAAATAAGCATCATTCTCATAACTTCGCGTGTTAGGTTAACTTGAATTGACTAGAACTTGATATTAAGCGAATAATACTTCGCAAAAATGGTTTTTGATTTATGAAACATAGAACACCTGGTATACATTGGTCATACATAAGACCTATTATCTTAAGTGCTTTTTTAACTTTTAACACCCCCCCC